AAAATGGGCAGGCCTTCCCTTTTTCTTCCGCACTGCAGGCTGCCTTCACGCAGGCGATGTGTTCATTGATCCGGAGTTTCGCCCGCAGCCTCAGGCTTATTTCTCTCGCTCTCTCTGAATTTATTTTATTCTTTCTCTCTCTCTCTCTCTTTCTCTCTCTTCCTCTCCCTCTCTCTCTACCTCTCTCTCTCCCTTTCCCTCTCCCTCTTACTCTCTGCGGCTTGCAAGAGTGGCAGGAGGCGGCTGCGCTGGTCCGCATCTGCGAGCTTGCAGCGGTGCAGCATGAGGAGGCCTAGCACTCTTCGATGGCACAACATGTGAGTTCAACGTCTGGTTGCGTCGGCATTGGAGAGGTCATGGCACTGCTTCTGAAGAAGAGCCAGTCTCTGCAGGCATTGGGCGACAGTGAGATCCTTTCGGTTGCAAGGTTTTCACGCATGTTGACAAGAGTTTTTTTCTGTTAGGGCGTGAATGTAGTGAGCTTCACGATGCACCGAGAAGAAATTTTCCATGCCATTCCCGTGGAACGCTTTGCAATCTTCGCAACAATGGACAGCACTTGACCTGGACGCTGCTGCGATGCTGCTCCACGGCTGGCGGATCTTATGCATAGCTTCATCAATGTCCGCAACCGGCTCTCCCGGGGCCTCTGCGGTCGGGGGTCGCACTTGCCTGTGCAATGCTGTGCAATGCTGTGCATCCTTAGCCTTGTCATGCCTGGTCTACTGCTTCGCAGCATTTCGTAGCGCTGAGCATTGCTTGCATACTTCACGCTGCAGGCCCTCCGTGTGGTTGCACGAGACGATCTGAGCGATGTGCCGAGGGTCCCTTTCCTGACCACAGTTCCATCGCAGGAAGCAAGTCCATGCACCTGCAGCGAACCGCAGCTTCGTGTTGTGGCAGTCTCCATAACTCCGAGACACCTGGGACTCGGAGGTGTGAAGCTGACTTTCGGTCATTTGACAAAGGCCTCCCATTGCGCATGATTGGGCCTCGGCGGCCTCTCCCTCGCTGGTCTGCGGCAAATAACGCTTGTTGGGGTCGCGTGAAAGCTGCCGCGCTGTCTCCCAAATCGATTGGGCCTCTCGGCCGTTCCTGGCCAATGCATCCAACTCTCACTGTCGTTAGTGCTACATCCATCGAAAAGGCATGTCAGTGATGTCACCATTTTTGTCGGCGTACGCAACTTCTCCGGGTAGGGCCAACTTTTGCTCGAGCTCTGCACAGAGCTTGTGTCCGCTTAGGCCATTCTGGATTCTGCTCATACCTGGCCGCAAGCGGCAAGCAGGACGTGCTGCAGAATCCCCGTGCATTGCGGCCCTGCGAGATTGCATCAATATTCGACATGGGATGCCTGGATCAGCAACGTTGCAGCCCTTCGAAACAGAAGCCGAAACTATTTCCACTCCTTGTGAATTGTCGTGATGGTTTCGTCTTATTGAAGCAGTTGAACATGCCAGTTTGTTCTCTTTTTTCAATTTCGCTCTAAGTTTGTGTGAATGCTGTTCTTATAGCTGCGATGATTGATGGGTCAGACCCGAAATCTAGGGAAAGTGACGGGAAGTGATCGATGACTTGAGCCTGAAAGTCTGAAAGGCCAGGGCCTTGAATGCCTCGGAGCTATGAGCGCAACATGTGAAGCAGCTGGGAAATTCGGAGGCTCAATTAGTGCAATATTGCACTGCCGAATTAGTTGAATTGGTTTGTAGGTGTGCTTTGCAATGCTCAGCCAAGAAGGAGGTGTCGAGAGGTGCTAAAAGGGTCTGAATGCATGAGCAGCATTCGAAGACCTCATCCCTGTCTTGTGAGACGTTGCTGTGCTGGTCAGTCCTGGCTCAAGATGTCTGTCTTTGGCAGATGTAGACGGACGTAATTCAAGTCAATTTGTCTGGCTTTGAGAATCATGCCAGCAGTTGCCCTGGCGTGCAAAAAGATCCAAGATCTGAGCATGCTGTTTTGGGTATTTTGGGTCCTAGGACCGCTAGGATGGAAAGTGAAACAACGTGACTAACTCGAGGTTGCTTCGAGCCTTTGGGCTGGCCGTGCTGGAAAGGCAGGGCGGGGGGAGTCAATGGGGGTCAGATGTTTACTGCTTGGTATGCTGCATCGCTTGGCAGGAGACTGGGGCCAACTTCCAGTTCATTCATCGTGTGCATGCTACTGACAGGCATATGCTGTAGGATGCTGTAGGTTCACATCCCACACAGCGAGTTCTTGGGCAGATTGCTATCCCTGCACCATCCCCTTGCTTGCTGTCCTCTTCTCCTTTGCCTGTAATGAGTATTGTGATGTATTGTGCACAGCGAGGACTGTCTGAGTAGACTGCTCGCTAGGAAGGACCGAAACGCACTGCAACTGATGGAGGCTTCGGCTTGATTACAAGTCAAGTTGCGCTTTGCTTTTTGTGTTTATCGTTGTTTGACTTGCATTTATGTCAACTCGTTTGAACCCTTTGCCTGCAGCTACATGCTGATGCGGCCGGACTTGCAAGCGGCTGCAAATACGAGGTCGGTGCAAGTTAGAACTCTTCTGCGTGCGTGTGAATGTGTGATCCTTGTGTGCGAAATGCACCGTTATCAGATTCGGTGGGCCACAGACTGTGATGTGTCCAGATATGCGCTTTTACGGTGTTATTCGTATGTTGGTCTTTGTACTCTGACTTATTGTCTTTTGTTTGTGTTTTGCAAATGGCTATATCTCATTGCATGTCTGTGTGGGAAGCCCCTCAGCAAGCGACATGAGCACACCCAAGTTTTGCTCAATGTTGTGATCCATGCATCGTCAATCTTGCCACAGCGTGATCTTGGCAAGCAACAAATGGAATGCTTGACACATGGCACCCTCACTATGAATATGTTTTATGCAGGGAACGATGGTTACGGAACTTTTGCTTTCTGGCAAGTGATCCAAAAAACCCAAACCACATCTACCATGCTCCTGTAGCTGTGCATTGCGGTCTTGTTGAAGCAGCGTGATGCTCAGGGAGTGGCTATGTTGAAGAGAAGAGGCAACATGATCAACGGTTGCAATATGCCTGCGCTGCATTGGCAGCATAAACTTCCGAAAGCGAATTCAACGCCCAGAACACCCGCAACGTATTTATGTAACTCTGCACTTATCTCTCTTCTACATCACCAAACTCCAGTTCCCTCCCAGTGCCCAAGCATGTGCAAGTGTGTTGGCACCCTTGAAACCAATAAGTGTGAGTTGCGATGCCCGCCCGTGCCGTGGGCAGCGGGACTCAAAGGGGCATCATTCCGACCTACGCATGGATCCAAGTTCCAGCTTAACTCCGGCAAGGCAACCTTCGGGGGCTTCAAAGATGTTCAAATTTCAACTGGCCTGGAGTGCGATGTATCAAACCTACTCAACTTTGCATTGGTTTATGAGCCACTTCTTACTTCTGCAACCAAGCCCGGGCGACTTCCGCCTCTTCAAATCAAATCTTCTGTTCTTCTTTTGCATTGATGTTTTGGTCGGTGCAGGCAACCCTACCAAGCGCAACTTGGATTCAGGGGTTTTCCAAAAAGAATCTCGGAACCACATGTTTGGCTAGAGGGAATTGCCAATCTAGCATTGGATTTACATGGGATTTTCCAATGAACGAAAAGTAATCTCGATTTTTTGAGATGCTTGCCAGGACGCCAGGACTACCATTGGATTTCGGGTTTTCCAATCAGGGAGGCACGAAACCAGCAACCACATTGTTGGTTAGAGGGAATTGCCATCTAACATTGGTTCAGAAGATCTTCCAATGAACGAAAAGTAATCACCATTTTTTAAGACGCTTGCCAGGACTACCATTGGATTTCGGGTTTCCAATCAAGGAGGCACGAAACCACCATTTGTTGTAATGGAATTTCAAAAGAATCAAAGAAGTTTGAATTTCAAAGTTATTTCAACTGACAAAGACATAAAACCACCGTCATTGAAGCCCTGCCCAGGAGAGGGAATGGCAAAGACCGTTGGATCAAGGGGATTTCTCCAAAAGAACAGCGTGTGCAGTGAAAAATTGCAAAGAACCGTCATTGTGGGTACCATCCATACATGTCGGAATATCAGCGCAGTGTATCGGCGTATGGGGGGTCCGTCCTTAGATGGCGATAAAAGCGCCACTATATCCCGACTATTTTCCTGGCGGACACGTGATGTGTGCAGGTGGTTCAAAAAGGAGACTCGTCTTCTTCGCGGCATACACAGCCGTATGCGAACCAGAGTCCGGAATGGCGACAAAGTAAGCCGGCATGGTTTTCAGGCATGTGTTGTGTTGAGAAAGTTGTAAACATGTTGGCAGGTACATCTCATCTGGGCTGCCCTCAAGAGTTCCGATGAAGGCCTGCGCTTAGCCCGTTTTCGCACGGCGACCTGATTTGGCATTTGGGAGACGAGGTCGACATCAATGATGAACATGGAAATGATGTTTGTTTCACTCGTTTCATGCAGGGTTTCACTGGCCGGCACGCATTCCATGGACAAGAGCTGAACCAGCAGCGATTGCCATGTGCGGAAGACAGAGAAGATTGGAACTTTGAGAGAGATTGGGTGCACTTGGCAGCATTGCAAGTTCTGACATGTTCTGATTATGCCTGAGAAGGAATGCAATTTTGCGTTTGTCCACGAGTTGCATATGGCTCACAGCACACTTCCTTCCCTGGCACCTCTGTGCTGCTTGTATGCAAGACACGTTGTAAGCCTTTCTTTTTGAACAAATTGCGTGCTGCTCTTGTGCCAAGAGCCTCTGCAAAACGAAAAACGGCCCCTTCCATGACTGTTCCAAAGTGTGGCTTTGAGTTTGGTCCTGAGGCAAGCCTGATAAGCCAATGAGAAGACGCTGTGATCGAAGGCTGAAGAGCATTGTCAGAAGGTTAGATGCAAGGTGTGTTCAGGGGCCCTCTTGCTTGAAGGCTGCTGCTGGTTGGCACCGCAGCTGCTTGCGTATTCTGGCGCTCCTGCAATGGCTCAGAACTCATTTCGTTCACCGTTTGTGTTGATGAGTATTGATGGCCCTCCCTGATCTTGAGGTTTGGCAACTAGCTTTGTTCCAGGCACCTGTTGCGCAGCGTGAAGGCCTCAAGCATCTTCGTGCTTCAGCAGGTGAGGCTCCTCGCCGGGCTATGCTGATGGCTCTGCCAGTGCTGGGTGTGGGCTTCAGTGAGCACCCTGCATCAGCCTGCATGCCGTGTCTTTGCCTGGCGTGTCATGTGTCATATTGCAAGGTGCTCCGGCAGCAGCCTCTGCTTTGCCTGCAGGCATCACTGACACAGTGGAGTACCTCAACAGGCGCGATCTTTCTGATTTAAGGCCCAGGCATGAGCGAAGTGTTGCACCGGAAACATCGAGAGGCGCAAGAGGGAACTTGTTCCATACATGAAGCAGGCCTGGACATAGACTCATGATGATTCATGAGACTTTTAATGAAACTTCACGTGAGTTTCGATGAGTCGCGCTTCCTTTGCTTGTCATAAGGGAATCGACTACTTGGAAGGGCACGATATTGACGAGAGGTGGTCAGAGCTTCTTGTGCTTCTGCAGAATGTTTCCATGAACGTGAAGTTCGCATAATGCAGCATGCAAACCATGCAGGATGATGAAGTTTCTTCCCAAGATGTGCAAAAAGATGGAAGCCTATGCGGTGCCTGTGCTTTCTGACCTCCCTGCCAGAAACAAATTCACCTTTTCCTGTACAGCAGCTGCAAAAGACTGCGAGACCATTGATGCATGATGCCAGGGCCTTCAGTCAAAAGACGAAGCTCCTGATAAGACAGTGTACAAGTTGAATGCAGCACCCTTAGCGCCTTAGCATGCCCGACTTGACTTAGCTGATGAATGCCCAAATGGTTCCTCTGCGCCCGTGAGGCTCATGTCCGCGCCTTTGAGAAGGCGGTGAAGAACAACGACAAGGCTGCAGCGCTTGAGGCCTGAGTCTTGCTTCTGGAGAAAGAGGTGACAAGTTGTGAAGAAGTGGTGTGAAGAAATGAAGAAATCTAGAAATGTGAAGATCAACCCAGGCATTCAAGAGTTACCAGAACGACATGCCACGAGGCTTTTTCCGAGAGGTTCTGTTTCTTATGGGGCTGTTTCCGACCTTCTTCCTCGAGGCCTGGCCCGTTTCGACATCCACGACCCGATGACATTCGAGGGACCCAAGCCTTGTCTTCAGATTTTTCGGATGCTTTGCTCATGCTCTGTGATATTGCTATTGGCCAGTGCTTTCAGGGATGTGAATGTGCCAAAAGCTGCGGCGGCTACCTAGCATCAGGGCCACGAGTCTGGACCAGTTCTGCGATATTGATGTGCACTGATGTACAACAGTGGCCACAGTTCCAGCAGCTCATGCAAGCAGAGTTATGACATTCGACCAGACAGTGGACTTGAGATTTTCTGCGCAGTTTCAGCGCATGTTTCGGGTTGATGTAGCGCAGTGCCTGCAGAACTCTGTGCCTGGCAGTGCAAAGCAAAACGAAACACATTCTAACTGCCTGGCCATGCCATGACAGCAGCAAGCCCATGGTCAGGCAGTTTCTTCACGTGCCTGCATTTCTGCGCAGCTGTGTTCCCAAGCAAAGCTGGTGAAGCTGTGCCTGAAACATGGTGGTCGAGACGGCTGCAAAGCCACCTGGGAAGGCCGTCAAGCCAGGCGGGAATTGGAGAATGACAGGATGTGACATGGCCTCCGCATGCGGCCTTGACAGTCCAGTTCGATGTTGAGCTTGCTCAGATGACCCAACTGTGGTCATTTCCAAGATGTTGTCGTGGCTTTTGCGCCACGGTATCAAGCACAAAAGTGTGGCTTGTTTGCAATATGCAGCCAGCCAGCATGCGGGCGTGTGCCGTTGCAGTGCTGTTTCTATCTTATCCAGCACGCCACAGCATGCCGAGGTCGGTTTGAATTCGGAAAGCTCCGACGGATGGGTCAAGGTGACAGACGTTCTGGATTCGGAGTACTTCAAAGCAATCACCAAAGACATCCTGATGAAGGCCGGAACGCGGAATGGTGGATTAATCGAATGAAAGTGAGAACGTTCCATTGGCACAGGTCATTGTCGATTCCAACGCGCAGAAGCTTCGTACCTCACTCATATTGGACACACTGCTTTCTCATGCTTGGCCTCGATTTGTCATGCGTCTTTGCCACCGTGTGCCAATGCTACCATTTGCCAGGCTACCAGCTCTCTCCAGACTGCGTTTACATAAGAGCATACAGCAGAGATGAGAAGAAGGCAGGAGTTGCACATGTTGCACGTGCGCTGCACACTCTCAAACTCAGGTAAACGCATGTAAACGCGAAACCAATAGGCCTGTTGCGGCTGTGTCTGCAGGCCTTCAAGGAAGGAGCAACAAGCACAACTTCATCCGTGCCTGTCCCTGCCCCTCCGGAAAAGAAAGGCCTGAGTTTGCTTAGTTTGCTTGAAAGCTCATTTTTGTTGAGCACATGCGGTACCTAGAAGCTCGGGTGGGGTAATGTGCAAGAGTCCAGAGAATGCATGAGAATGCCAGGGACGTTGCGCGGAGAAGCCCCAGAGTTCGTGCCTTCGACAAGCCCCATGACATCCATGCAAACTCCAGGACTCGATGCTCGAAACATCTCACCATGCACCACCGGTCGGGTGTCAAATTTAGCAGGATACCCGCCCTGGCCGCTGTTGTACCCACAGCCAGCGATGATGTACGCCTCTCAGGAACCTTGTGCCAGGATGTGCCCAGGATGTGCCCTGCTCTCGCCCGCGAAGTTTGGTGCGGTTCCTGAGGCCATATGTGCCCGTCCAGGTCCAGCGCAAGGGCGGAGCTGAGAAAGGTCAGACATTGTGAGGTTGCAAACTTGCAAACATTTGCAAACATTTGCAAACGGTTGCAAAGTTTCATTTTCATGTCCTGCTGTGTAGCGAAAGAGGTGGGGGCGTGTTTCGTGGCTCGCCTGCACAAGCTTCATTGAAACCTTCTCCGAGTTCCAACCGCTTGTCCCAAGTACTAACTTGCAGCTGCGCCCAGGTGAGTTGGGAAGAATAAAATCCTTCTATGATGATAAAGGCCAGACAACGTCAGACAGTTTCGTTACTGCAACAAAAGGCAGTTTAACGAACTCTGGGTCAGGTTATGGCTTCATTGAATGCCCAAGAGTCACGCAACAGTTTGGTCGCGACCTGTTCGTGCACAAGGTCCACTGGGTCTGTGCCGATGGCGGTGTATAGTTTTCGTGGATGTCACAAGTTGTCACGATGCAGGCGCAGCTAAATGGTTTCAAGGTCGGTGATGAGGCCAGAGCTTCGTGCCACCAAGGCTTCCAGATGTCATCTTTTCCTGCTAAGGTCACTGTTACCGTGACTGTGAACGAGGCTGCTTCAGCATGCCAGAGTACAGACAACATGCGCTGAACGGACATGCGTGCTGTGGGTGCAGTTATGTGCAGTTGACATTCCTTGCAACAAGTGCTTGCGAGCCGACGTGCAAGCATCGCTGCAGGCTGGATGGCCACAGGCGCAGGATTTGCAGTCTGCAAGAGGTGCGCACCCGGTCCCGCTGAAGCCACGCAGAGGTTCACGCGTCGGGTTCTGACGGATTCCTTGACAGGTCAGCCAGCAAGTGCATCAACAAAGGGAAAAGGCAAAGGGAAGGACCTCAGCTGCACTTCCCAGTTGTGCGTGAACGGCCGCAAGCCTGTCACAGATCTTGTGTGTTTCAGGAGGGCAAGGGAAAAGGCAAAGAAGGCAAAGAAGGCAAGGGGAAGGATGGCAAGGGCAAGGAGGGCAAGGAGGGCAAGGGCAAGGAGGGCAAGTCAAAGAGCAAAGGAAAGGATGGCAAAGGTAAGAGCAAGGCCGCCATCTTTGACGGCTGTTTCGTTGTTTGCCTGTGTGGTGCTAGACAGAATTGGCATTTGCTTTTGCTGCTTATATGGAGGACAGAAAGAAAAAAGATGAGACTCCAGAGGAAGCGGTGGGAGCAGAAGGAGTCCAAGAAGAGGAGCACAACTTTGCTTCTTGAGTTAGTTTGAGTTGTCCGGCTTCGGTCTTTCACATGTATACACTGCTTCTTACAGGCACCGGTAGACATCTGGCCGTAACCTGTGGGCCCCGTGGACGCTTCCGACTACGTCGCTTCCTCACGCATATTTCTAGATGTATAGATCTAGATATAGATCTAGATGTAGATCTAGATGATCTAGATATACATCTAGATATAGATGTAGATATAGAGATCGAACCCCCGCAATTGTCTCCCCATTTTTTGGCCCCTTTTATGTGGGTATAGCGTACCTTGAAGGGTCGAGGATAGGGCTTTGAGAAATCTGAGGGTTGAGGAAGGGTTTCATTTTTCGACGCAGAAAGTCCAACCATATTGACCAGGATGGAGAGCAGATCTAATGTCCGGACGTTGGATCACGTTTGCTATAATTTCCAGTCCAGCAGGGAGATTAGATATAATCTCCGAAGATTAGACCTAATCTTCGGGCGTTGGATCACGTCTCCCGTGGGTTCATCCAGATGGGATTCCTGTGCGATTCAGAAACTCGCCCCCGATTCAGGAAACCAGGGTTCAGGAAACTAGGCACACACGCAAGTCGTACATCTTGCCATACGTCACACAGATACCAGCAAGTCACAGGCAACAAATCGCACATCTTGCCATGCCCCAGACAGATGCCAGCAAATGACAGGAATCACAAGCAACAAATCGTCCTTTTTGCTATGCCTCACACAGATACCAACCCATCTTGCTATAATTTTGCCATGCCTCACAAAGATGCAAGCAGCAAATCCTACATCTTGCCATGCCTTACAGTAAACTCCAAAAAGTTGGAACATCCTTATCCTCATACCTCCAAAGGAAACGTAAAGGGAATCCCAGCTCTAATCGTGTTCCAACTTTCTGGAGTTTGCTGTACACAGATACCAGCAAATCACAGGCAACAAATCGGTCATCTTGCCATGCCCCGCACATATACTAGCAAATCACAGGAATCACAAGCAACAAATCGTGCATGCTGGTATGCTTCACAAAAATTCCAACATATTGCTCTGCCTCACAGGCAATAAATTCTACATTTTACCATCATTGTGCCATGACTCACAAAGATACAAGTAGCAAATCCTACACTGTCCTACACCTTGGGCGATTCAGGAAACTGCCCGATTCAGGAAACTTCCTTCACGTGATTCAGGAAATTGCGATTCAGGAAAGCACGAAGGTCAGGAAACCAAGATTCAGGAAGCCAGACGATTGAGGAAGCTGGGGGGTGGCAGGGGGTGTCGGGTGGGGGGTGGTTGGGAGATGACTGCAAAAGCCGAGGTCCATGAATGACCTGCAACTAGATATTAAATGAACTTCATGGTTTTGCTAGGCCATTTATCATATTCGGCTCTCCCAGTTGGCGATTTACAACCAAATTCGGTGCGATGGGTTACCATCAGGGGCTGATGATTCCCCAAGAGGGTGCTGGCACTTAAACCTAAACACAGGTCATGAGACTCCGCAATAGCGCTGCAGTCTCAAGATGTGCTTGTGAGCACACATGCAGAACCGTAGTCTTGGCATGATTGGAGACAAAATCGGTGGATTCGCAAACTGCAAAACTCGCGGATCTGAAGCAGGGAAAACCTAATTCGGGAAGCTGGAAAACGCAGATTCGGAAACCAAAAGCGTTGATTCGCGAAACCAGACTCGGGAAACCCGATTCGGAAACTGCTGATTCGGGAAACTGGAAAGCGCAGACTCGGAAACCACTGACTCGGGAAACTGCAAACCAGGCTTGGTATGAACGATATTCGTACTTCTCCTCGAAGGTTAAACACAAACGCGGAATTAATTGACATCACGCTGACATAAACTGGAGGTCCAGTTTCTTTCTCAGACTCTGTGTATTCTTGCAAAAGTGACCGGTAAAATTTAACGAAACAATGAAGGACAGCTACTGGGACAACCGATGCACCAAAAGAGCTTAGGACTTGAGGTTAAATTGCCTCATTTATTGAAGGAATATGACTTTTGGGGTTATACTCTCACGAATAGTACATGATTTCCCCAAGTTTGACATGCAAATAACGGAATCGTTTTGAGTTGTGCCACTGTGTGCTTGGTAATTCCCACATAGCCTAGCAACTGAATCATCTCGTTGCACACAGTTTTCATACAAAACCATGCTTCGTCATAGCATCTGGAGAAAAACAGGCATAGGCACCAACAAGAAGCAGATAACAGGGGGTAGCATTTATGTATATATATATATACATGTACATTGTATATGTACGTATACACGTATATATATATATATATATAAATGCCCCGACCTGGTGCGTGGTCAGGACACCCCATCCCAAAATCGGACCGTTGCAGCCGGGTAGCTGCACCTCATTGTTTCGGTTATCATGAGGCATGGTGGCACCCACTGGCACCCCGACTTGAGAAGGTTCAAAGGAATCAAGTGCTTTCCGGGGGGTGAGCTTCACCGGAACCGGGGAGGGCATAATGGACGTGGACAAGCACGTGTGCGACATTGTGCGACATGCTTGCATGGCTTGCGTGTGTGTATGCCGACGCAAGCGCACGTGTGAGTTCTTTTTGCACGTGCTGGCATGTACACGCTATCGAATTACCGCATGGATCTGTGCCCAGATCGCACCACACTTTCGTAACGCACTCAACCCCAAAAAGCAACTACAGCACACTCACCATCAATTTTCTTGCGGTGAGCGGTTTCGGCTTTCGCCTGAAAGGCTTGTCTAACCTCCGTGCCGAAAGGTGTGCATTGTGCTGCGCCGCTTTCTTCAACACAAACACCAAAACAGTCAAAGTTCACAAGCTCATGCAGTACATACATGCGACCATGTCTCGGGTTGTTTTAAGAACAACCCGAGATATGTTCGTTCACACATCGGAGGCCAGCACAAGGTTGAAGCTGGTGGGTCTGTCAGGGAGGTAAGCTCACAGTCAGTGTGATCGTCTACTGGACTGACATGTAGCAATAAAGCGGGCTGCGTTTTGGAGGGGTGGGTGCCTTCGTGCGCCGGTGGCAATCCGTGACTTTTTTCGATTTGTTTTGTGGAAGATGCACTGGACAATTCTTTGGGCCGCCCATGGCCATACTTCTGTGCCTGTAAGGAAATTGATTGCTCCATATCTGTTGGCAGGAGGAGCGGTAGCCGTCCGGACAGCAGTGACGCTTGCTTATGTCCATAGCACTTTCATATACCAGAAAGAAGTTTGTCATAGGTTTTTTGCCAGTTTCCTGTTCTACTAGGGCTGGGGCCCAGGTTCGAGAGCATTAACGTACTCAGAATGTATACAGGTTTTGCCTTGTGTATCGTCTTTCTGGTAGCACCAGGGCCAGAGCCGCAACAACATCCGGCCATCTGGCCTGTCTCACACCGAATCGGGAGAAAGGGAACCTCTTTAAATTCTCTCTTCGGATCATTTCGGACCTATCAAAAGTCAAGATGTTTGGCCAAGAAGTGGGAAATCGCTGATCGCTGCAGATCATGTGGCAATCCCCCCACAGACAGGCGCTGCATATGTTGCAGTTGCTTTGCCTTAGCCCACTGCGGTCATGTGCTCTGAGCAGAGGACACTGAAACATAAGAATTGTTCAGATGCTTCATCTTCTCATGGCATCCTGATGAGCACATGGCTTGTGGTGAAGGAGTGCTCATCGATTCATGAAAGCAGCTGCGGGCTGCCCAAACCGGCCCACTAGCCTCACACTTAATACAGCAGCCTTCGGAGGTTTGTGGCGACAAGAGGCGTGCCCGCCAGAAAGGTTTCGCTGCTGTTTCCCTCTGTCGACTCTTCAAAGAAGGAACTGCCCCAGAAGTTGTAACTCTGCCTGTGCATGAAGGCAGATAAGGCACACAGCATATGATGACCTTGAAGTTTCAAGACTAGTCTGGTGGCTCATCCAGTCCTTTATGTTGATAGAGAGCTGAAAAGCAGCGGGTCTGAGGGGCGAATCCTAGCAGTATCCAGCCAAGTTTTCATGGCGAAGGCAGCTCGTTGACGGACAAGGCATGATGAATGTTTTCGAATAGCGACATTCCTTCTTGATTGCTTCCGTGTTTCTTTTGATAGTAGGCAGCTGCCCACCTGTATTTGAAGTAAAGCTAGCAGCGTGACACGACCAAGTATGCTTCCGAGTTCAAAAAGACTGGAGGACAAACAGTGCAGTGGATTTCCTTTCGACTGCAGCTCTTGCTCCCGCTTTCTTCTCGGCCTCTTTCTCGTCGCGCAAGATTCCATCGTCATTTTATTAGCGCTGCATAGCCGTACTACCCGCATGACTCGCCTAGTTCTTTCTAGGAGTTCCAAATGGTTTCCTACGCAGTCATGAATGTGGCCGCATGTGCCGGCTGGACGTGACAGATCGACGAGAATGGCTAGCGAAGGGTGATGGGGGATCGTGTGGGGGCTGCATGGATGCTTGGCTTGGTAATTACTTGTAGATCGGTCGTTTCCGTGTATGTTGATGATCCGGTCATGGTCATGCTGATGGACATAATGGACGGGCTGATGGAGGAGCTTGCAGGAGAAGATCTTTCTGTGGGACAAATCGGTCGCACCTGTCGCTGCTGCACCCTTTCCTCGCGACTTTTTGGGCAGCGTTGAGCCCAACGGATTGGGAAGCATCGCGCGAAGCACTTGAAGCGAGGCCACTTCCGGCAAATGTCATCAGCTTAAAGCGATTGCCCTGAGAGGCCAGGACAAGTCCCCATCATCATCGCCTTCGCCCAGTTCGAGCGATCATAGCTCCAAGGTGTCGGTGACAGGTTCCGAAATTCCGGGAGATCCCAACGTTGACTATGCACACTGCATGTGGAAGGCGGTTTGCCTAATTCTACATTGTTTCTGTTAGGGTCAAGTGTCAGAGTTATCCGGCACGCCGAGTTGTCAGCTTACCTCTCTCTGATTAGCAAGCCGAGCGATTCGACGACCGATGTGAAAACAAATGAAACACCGCGCAACTTTTTGCGGATAATGTAGGGGGCTGTCTGGAA